TCGCTTTCCACATTAACAATAACTCAAAACTTCTTCATATTTCAGCCCTCTCTCCTCTAACTCGCCTCACGCAGTCTTCTTATTTCTTACCTGATCCTACAAACCCCACCTGCGCCACCTATAACCGCTCCCCTCCTTTGCTTCCAGGTACACTCTTCTTTGAAGTAACCTGCAAGTCTATATTAGATATATATCTGCCTTCAAGAATAGACTACGTCTTTATCTTAACACTGACTCCTTTAATTTCGTCATCTTCCCCATCCAGTTCTCTCCGAAACTTTGAAAAAGACAACGGAGCATTAAGTACTCCGCCAAAACTCGCCTTACCCGTTCTCATTGCGCTTTACCTGCGCGATTTTGCTTTTCAGGATCTTTTGGCAGTGTCAAAGTCCCAAGTCATTCTCGATCCTACTGTAGGTGTGCCACCACTTAGCATCTTCAGGGATAACAAAATGACGTTTAGTTCTCACTTGCTGAACTGTCTTTATGGTTTCATCCTACTATCAGTATTAACCTACGCCAGTCCTCTATACCCGTTCGCGAAGTAACATTTTCCCTCTCATATTTTTTAAAAGTGATGTTTCCCTAAATTCTCGCTCACTGTCAATTTCTGGAGCTGATTCCGTGCCTCGTTTGGAGCCCACCATTTCTTTCTATAAGCTTTTAATTTGGAAATTTTCGATGGTTCTATCATATGTAACTTTCGGGAAAGGGCGAATTGCCGGCGGACGTCACCAAATGACCATTTCACATGGCTCAATTTCCAAAGTTCACTGTACATCTGGCTGCTCACACAGACAATTGCTGACCACACTGTCTGTATTCTAACAATTAGTTGAGTGTTAAATTTGTTTGAAGAGTGACTTCTAAGGACAGAAAAACTAAAATGTCATCATATGCTTTGGCGGTGGTAATGAGGACACCACTGTTGGGGTTTTTGCACTTTCCGAGTCAATAGTGCAACTTTGCCCGCGAGTGATTCTGACACCATCATAGACTCGGACATACACGCATTTACTCATGAAATCGGTCCTAGTCCGAGGACAGGGTCCCCACATATTATCATGATAACCAGTCTCCATCCTTCACCTGTGTTTTGTATCTAGCAGCCGACAGATAGGTCGTTTGCACTGTCGGAGATATTTCACTGCGCGCGGACGGCCACGCCGTCTTGTCGTCCAGCATCTGATTCATTCACGGCAGATGTCTTCAGCACCTCGAGTACCTAAAGCTACACTAGCGTATTAGTTTATGAGTGGTGAGAAATACGGCTTCCTGACTCCACTATTTAGGTTGATTCTTTGGAGGCACACTGTGTATTAATGCACGCTGACACATTAAGCAGAGCATGGCTGCCGTTGATTAGTATCTGGTCATAAAAATGAGCACATATTAAGAACGCGTCAACCCGGTGGACAGCACGGTGGACCAGACTGTGCAACTGCATAACACAGAAGCTGTGACACCAACGCCGAGGACATTGGCTACCGCACAATATCGTAGACGGAAGGGGAAGTAAGAGTGAGTCGAATATGACGGATTTGGATGTCACTGCATTTATTGTATATGTATTGTATATGTATATTGAAGGGTTACAGGCAGAGCCCTTGATGACCCTATTTATGTACAGTGCTTTCGCAGATTCATACTCAAAAATAAAATAAAATTGCAGGCATTTAAAATGTGATTGGGTCGCAGTTCAATCGTAATCATAAGGTAGTGCATGGGGTCATTGTAAATTAGTGCGGAATATTGTATATGACAGATTTTACAAAACTGGCTGTGCATAGTCATGCTGTACAAGCCGATTTCTGTCGAAAACTAGACGAGCAAGTTTTCTTTTAAACACACAAGCTGTGTCAGCCGTCACCATCTCGCTTGGAAGCGAGTTCCACGGCCTGA